TTCGCTGTCCACATAGTCCTCGTCTTCATCCTCTTCATCCTCATCCAATGCTACCTGAGGAGGTGCAGAAGATCGTACAACTGTATCTTCTTGACCGGTACAGTGTGCAGTAGTGGTTGTATGCACCGGTAAAGATGAAGATTGTCCAACATCAACTTCAACATATGTCTCAATATATTTTAATACTTTCCATTCAACAAACGCATTTGTTACGAACTCCACATCTTCATCATCATTTATATCGTTTCCAATGTAGTATATTGTATCCATATCCACTACAGTCTCTAACCTGGCTATCATGCGGTGGATGGAATGTATGCCTTCTAACCCCATTTTTTGAAGAATTCTCTCCTTCAGTTCATTGCATGTAGTGCCCACTTTGATTTTCATCGTTTTTGTTTTTCCTTCAAATCGGACACCGTTCGGACCTTCAAAATGCCTCCCATTGTAGTAAATAACTATAGGAACCATGTTTGGACTTGAACTCATCTTTCACACAAAAATTAGATCTAGGTTTTGGGTTTGGAGGTTGGTTCAGATTTTTTAGCACAAAATGGGAGTGTGGAGATGTAATCTCAATGTCCCACCAAGATTCAGCTTTCTGAAATGATGAGATGAAATATGTGTGATGTTTCGGATTAGAGAGGGTAAGAGAGAAAGATTTGGGGTTTCAAAAACCCTATACCTCGCAACAATGGCCGAAACCCATACATATTGGGGTTTCTGGACGCGATTTACCCGGGTACACTGATCCTTACCCGGGTAAATAATTCAAACATTTTCCCAGATTCAAGAACTCTACCCGGGTACACCCCTACATACTCGGGTAGATAAAAAGTTTCAAAATTTACCCGGGTAGGTAATGGTGTACCCGGGTAGGCTTCGTGGTCAACGGTCAAACATGGGCAGATTGGTGTTATGTTTGTTGGGGAGGGTAAATTTTCGAAATAGTTTTGAATGAAGGGCAATTTGGTAATTAATTATTAATTAAGGGGCATAAGGGTCAAAAAGCCCATGAAACGCTCAGTTTTGATTTCCGCCAATTAACGATTATAATTTATTGGGTTCAAAATTATTAATTAATTATAATAAATTTGACTCATTAAGTTTTATTCAATAAATTATAACCGTTGATCGACAGAAATCAACTATTAGGATCTAAAATGAGACAAAATTATATCTTTTAAAAAGATAAATATTTTCTCATAAAAAATTTATATGAGATTAAATATCTGTATCTTACGGGATCAAGACAAACCTTTCAATTTCTTTAGGGGGCGTTTGGTTGGAGCTATATGATGAGATAGGTAGGCATTGGAGAAGTGAGATTCTTCATTGACCGTGTTTGGTTGAAGAGTTTGGAATATTTGGCTAGCGAAATCACTCCCCCAGCTATTCACTTTGCATGTCAATTGGACCCAAATGCAAGGCCACAGATTCCCAATTCAGATGTGGTATTGGACGTTGTCTACCTAAATGGAGAAATGAGTGAAAAATTACATGACGAACATACCCTCAACTTTTGCACAAAAAGTGAAAATCTTCTACCAAATCATTTTTGCAGACTTATGACAGCTCACGTTCTAGGGATATTTTCATAATTGCTACTTATTTTCCCATCTATATTTTACCTCAAACCAAACATAGACTTTATAAAATTTACCTAATTTCTCCGGTAAATTTTTTTTCAACCAAATAATTTTTTTAACATTTTTCTACCAAACTCACTTTCTAATCATTTTTCTACTATTTACATTTCTTTAGTATTCAAAAAATTTCTCCTTAACCAAACACCCCCTTAACAATTTTTGAAAGGAGTTATGAATCTCCTGTCAACAAAATCCTCATATCAATTATCCTTATGAAAAATTAGCATAAGCCTAATCCCTTCCTTCGGCTTCAAGCAAGTACGCGCGGCGCAGCCGAAGATGGAAATAGCATTAATTTCATGCTAACAAAGAATCACAATCAATAATATCAATGTAACGAGTTAAACATTTATTTCAACTTTAGAAAGCTTATTTACATTTATTATGCTCACTGTATCATGCAAAAGTTTTTAGATAGTCATCGCAATTTATCTTTTCAAATCACCTTTAGTTGATCTTCCCTATATATCCCCCCAAAAAAAATCACCTTGTAAGTTGTAACTCTTGATATTGGCATTAACTAACTTAGCAAAGAGGGTAAGGCAAATCAGTATAATTTTTTTTTTTTTTTTTTTTGGAGAAAACGCTTGTATTTTTAAAGAATTTTTGCCTACCAAAAATAAAATAAAATAAACCTTGTATCATTTTAGTTCTTAACCATTGATTTTCGTCAATCTTATAATTTATTGAAAACTATTAATTAATTAATAAATTTAACCCAACAAATTATAATTGTTGATTTGAAAAAAATCAACGTTTAAAATTTAAAAATGACACAAAATTAAATCCTTAAAGAAATAAATATTTTTTCAAAAAACAATTAAGTAAAAAATCAAAGATTCCCTAGTGTGATTTCTTAATCGTTTCTAGCCAGCCACGTGGATTCTATTGACATGTGAGGCTGCATTACTTGGGAGAGTAACCATTTTGCCACGTTTGGACAAAAAAATTATCAGACTGTCACACCAACAGTAAATTTTGCCAAAAATACCACGCGGCATAATTCGCTACACAGTGTAGCGAATTATGCATGCAAGTAATTCGCTACACAGTGTAGCGAATTTTGCAAAATTTGACATGTGGCATTTTTGGTTCTGACGTGGCATATTTCGCTACACTGTGTAGCGAATTACTTGCATGCATAATTCGCTACACTGTGTAGCGAATTATGCCGCGTGGCATTTTGGCAAAATTTACTGTTGGCGTAGCAGTTTGGTAATTTTTTTGTCCAAACGTGACACTTTGGTCAGTGTTCCGCGTTACTTCCCACAAGGATCATGTATACGAATAAATCTTTGGTATTAGTGTTGCACCAAAAATTCAGTATATTTCATCAATAAAAATATTATATATCAGCTAAAGTTTTCTTTTCTTTGCCAATTTTTTTCTCTCTCCTATGATGTGAAATGCTCTAATTGATGAGATGCACTGAATCTTAATGCAACAATGGCACCAAAAATTTATTCCATGTATACGTCGGAGTGAAAGAGAATTAAATGTAAAGAGACGATTTTATCCTTTTGAGGAGTTAATTTGTTGGACCTGTCAAGCGGTCCAATAGAGAAACCCAATTCCTAAACTTTAAATCCTAAATAGGGAAGCCCAAGCAGACCCAAGAGATGTGACGTTTTTTTTTTTTTTTTTTTTTTTTTTTTAAGATTTGAATTTTTAATCCTATTATTCATATTTCAATATTCAAAACTCACATGGTGTCATACTTCAGTTCTACACATAATTAATGGAGTTTGTTTAACACAAAACAAATTAAAGTTCATCTTAAAGAGTTTTCTTTTAAGCACATGGTGTCATACTTCAGTTCTATACATAATTAATGGAGTTTGTTTAACGCAAAACAAATTAAAGTTCATCTTAGGAGTTTTTTTTTAAGCTGATTTCCGCTTTTAACTATTTCCACTATTAGCTATTTAAAGGTTATGATGTGAACATATGTATAATCAAGTTTAGGAGTCCCTTATCCTTGGCAACAATGAAAGAGAGATCAGATGGCAAAGCTATTGCTAACATTCCATCAAACATTGTACTGGAAATTATTTTAACTTCGATATTATTTTCTCAAGTGACAAATGCAGGGAGTTGGCGATGCTTGGGAGCACCAAGTTATACACTTTCCTTTGAAAATCGTTTGGCTCATGAAATTAAAGGATATGACATGAAAAAATATGAAATGACACTGCTATGCGGTGAAACTAATTACGGGGAGATCCCTTATGTAGTTAAACTGAATCCAAAAGCATCTTTCTCTTTCAGCTTCTGTGGTGGATGGATTTTAGATCCGACTTATCAGTGCTACGCGAGGTTGTCTAATTCTACTTGGAATCATTCTTTCCTTGCCTTCACTATTGGCTTGGATTGCAAAAAAGAAAGACAATGCCGATGGCAAATACATAGAGATCATCCCTTTTTATATTCTCCAACTAAAAAGAAATATGTAAGATATGAATATTTTTAAAAGCATTGACCTAATATAATTAAGTCAATGATTCAAGAATATTGATAAATAAATATTTTGTAAGTGTCAAATGTTGTCTTCTCATGATCGTGGTTATGACTCATGATCATTGATTTATTGTCCTCAATATGTCATTGAAATGAATCTCGTCAATGTGTTAATACTCTCCTAATAGCTAATAGTTAGCATAATGCAACATCATTATCTTTTTTTTTTATTCAATGATAATATTCAAGTTCGAATTTATAATCTCAAGTAGATTACCAAAACTCTTCATGAAACCAATCCTATTGACTTGACATTATTATCTCATTTGAGTCCATATGAATTTACTATCCAGCCTTTTGTCATTTAAATTTCATTTGAAATGAATTTCATTTGATAATTTAAAGACCAATAGAATCATTGATAATCAGTCTCCAACAATATGGCTATGTGACATCTTTATATCATTTGAATTCACGTACATTTTATTTTTAAATGGCCTTGTGTTATTTAAATCCCATTTGATTTGATAATTCGAAAATCTAAAGAACCATTTATGGGTTTATTTGGATAAGTTTTTGAAAAGATATTTTTATGACAATTTTTTTTTTTTTTGGGGGGTAAAACACTTTTATGACAATTTTATTTCAGAGAGAATTACGAAAGAAAAATCTATACATCCATGGGAAGATATCAACTTCAAGCTGCGTAAGACTAAACACTTACACCTTTATTATCTACTAACAGTCTTACATCAAAAGAATTTTAATTTATTGGATATGAAAACTGTTAGATGTAAAATCAATAATAAAACGAGGAATTCAAACAAACAAATAATGGACAGAAACAAATTGAGTTCTTTAAAACTAAATGTGAGTTGCAAATTACGTGTTCTTTGAGGCTCTCTGCAATGTACTAATTTCAGTCTAAAATTTGGCAAATGTCAGTTTAATTTATTTCATCTGACATCAGGTTATGTGATTTTGTTTCATTTCAGTCATCCATGAATAAATAAACAGTGATGAAAGATCAGGGAAAGCAGGCATTAGAATACAAAGTGAGATGCACGAGATCTGAGATGAGAGGATCCATTTTCCAATAATTTACACCTGTTTCTCCGAGCCTTCTATTTTGCCCTTCCACATCAAAAACCTCGTCATTTAAATGCATTCCAAATCTTAAACCTCAGAAAATGCATCATACCCCACTAATGTGATTAAAGGTCTTTTATCTCTTAAGAGGTCAAGTCCTTCCCAGGAACTCCAGCACCTGCGCAATCAACTCACGACAAAACCATACATAATTCTCCGGAGGTATGATGTAACTCCAGTCTTCGACTTCCATCAGTCATATGACCGGGTCCTCTTGCATATCTGGTCGCTTCCTGGATTGCAATGCCAGTCGTGCATCTCTCTCTCGCTCAAATTCACGGTAATCTGTTCGCTGCAAGAAGGAAACCTTATCCAAATACTGGTTTGAACTCTTCTTATAAGCATCAAGCTCATTTTCCAGTCCCCTATTTTCTTCCTTAAATTCTCCCCAGTCTTTTTTTGTCTTATCGAGTACACTGAGCTTCGGTTTCTTCTTGATTTGCTCAAGGACAGCATCCACAGCAGAAGGTGTAGGAGCTTTGGCTCTTTCCATTGCCTCCTTTGAGTCACAATCCACAAGCTTTTTAAATTCAATTTCTTGACCGGCAAAGTCCCTAACCTCAGTAATCTGATAAAGGAAGCAAATGAACAAACATCGACATTAGAATCCCTATAGGTGCTGTGAATGGTCAGTCATCAACAATCAACCAAGTTGGAACTCAGCATTTCAATTGGAAAATTGTTCATGTATGGTATACTCAAATTGGTGCTGGGCTTAACAATAGGCACGTAAACCAAATATTGTAACAGCAGCATACAAGCTAACCCAGTCCGATGTCAAAGTCTTGATTTAAATAATTCGGGCATGTCTGCATATTAAATTTGAAAATAAAATAAAATAAGACTTCAATGCACAAATTCTTTACTCTCTTCATATATTTTCCACTCCCTATTGGCTAAATACATGTTCGGAAACCTTTAATTATGGGAAATAATTTCTTTTTTTCAAAAGCCCCTCAAGAACCAAAAATCACTCCTCGTTAAATCTCGACTAGTGAAGGTAAGGGAGGGTGAGAGCAAACTTGTACATAGCCTTACCCTTGTATATTAGCAAAGAGACTGTTTTCCGAATTTGAACTCATGATCTTTCAATCACAGAACAAGCAGTAGGCTCGCCCTCTTTCACTCACAAAAACTCTGTCAGGGAGCTTAAAAAAAAGAAGCTTTTTTAATCCCCAAATAAGCTAATCTAAACACGCATGACTGCCCAAACTATTTCCCACTTCAGCTAGATTAGTACGTGACCAAAAATAGGTGCACTGGATAGTAATGTGCTTACCACAAGTTTCCCCCTGCCTGAGGTAGAAGTGGCAGCATCATCTTTTGCTGCTGCAAGAGCAGCAGCAGCAAGCTTCCTGGCTTCATCACTTGTACCGTTCTGCAGTTCATCACTTGTACCGTTCTGCAGCACACCAGGTCCATTCTGGGAAGCACCTTGCCCGAGGGATTCAGTTGCCTTTGGTGCCAACCCCAAATAAGACATCCAGTTCTACATTCAAAGTTATTAAGTTGAAGGAAATTAAACTCAAGCTAATAACAGTAAAAATAGCTTCTTTTACAAACGGCCAGTAAAAGAAAGTAGCAACAAGGTCTTACGGAAGATGTCTTCTTTGCAGTTTTTTTTGCAGTGGAATTAGGCTTGCTTGTAAACCTTCTGATAATCTTATTAGATACTCCTTTATTCATTTGTTCCCACATGGCATCAACTTGAGCTTTTATTTCTAGCAAGACAATGAGCAGGTGGGCAAGTTAATTTGCAACTATAACCATAAACCATTAATCTACTTAGTCGACACAGAAGAAAAATTATATTTTTTAAAATACAGATTGAAACCAAAAGTCCCAAACCCTCACCAGTATCTTCCTTTTTTGCTTCCAGGCTTGACCCTGGAACAGGTTCTTTGACAGACTCGGCAGAATTCCCATTGACAGTATCTGAAACATAAAACCTGAATTGTTATCGAAAGCAACTCCATCTTAACATCCACAAAAGAAAGAATTATTGGATAAAATATAACAACCAGAAAATGTAGTCATCATCTAGAAATGCTTCATGAACCATATAACCACAGATTTTCACTGGCAATAATTGCTAAACTACTTACATTCACAGCATTAGATTTTTGCATATCTAGGATTAAAGAAAGGAGTATATCCAACCACCTAGAACCCTTACTACCTTTACCTTTCCCAACAGTGCAATGTACAAAATTAGGTTGGTCCTAAATCCAGTTTACCTTTAGCATAATGAAGGTGTTTCCAATAGGAGGCAATGCAAGAAATCAAAAGTTATAATGATTCCAGAATAAGGAAAAGAGGTTAAAAAAAAAAATTGCTGTAAATTAGGGTTTTTCTTGCGGGTTAGGTTTTCAGAATCTATCGAGTTTTACACTAACCACTAGCATAGAAATCTATAAAAAAGAGAGTGAGTGAGAGAAAGACTAAAAACAGAACAACCAAAATAAAAATAAAATAAAAAGTAAAAAGTAAAATAAAAATAAATAAATTGTAGTTCGTAAATCAGCCTAAACAGATTTTTGTGATTGAATCGGATTGAGGCGTGGATTCTAAATCCAATTATCCTCTAACGAGAGAACGAAAAGGTTATTATAGACATTCAGCTTCGAACTTGCAACAAAGACCAAAACGACAAAGTGGGGAATGAAGAAGAAAGAGGTGGTTGAATAAAAACGACAATGCTTTACCAGCGGAACTCATTGCTTGCTGGTGCTGCTTTTGACGACGCTAAGGATTTCGCGATGGCGGAGAAACACAGCTCCTTTGCCCTTTCTGTTCCCCTTTCTATACGATACCGTTCAATTTTCTTTTCCAAAATCACCCCGCTCTAATTTTGTATTATTTTCCTTTTTATTTTATTTTTTATTCTTCACTTTATTCACCAGTAACCGCCATAGTGGATTTGCACCTTGCACGAATCGTGTTATTTGTCACATTTACTCACTTATTCACATTCACTTTGTATTTGAATTCTTTTTAACATTTTATTGCGTTAATTTCATTTTTTTGGTTCAAATATAATCTAATTTTGACACCTTATTTTATGGCTAAATATTGTGCACCAAGTGTTTCCTATCAAGCATTATTTGAAATTAATTTGTCGTGAATTATAATTAATAAAGATTCAATTAAAAAAGAGTAATTAGAATAAAATGTTTATTTACTTTAAATTTTAATTTAAACATTCATCATTTTTTGCTCAAAATGGTTAACTTAAAATTAGATTTGACCAAATTGTTAGGATTGGACTTTGTATTGAATGGTTTGAATAATTTATATAAAATTATTAGTTCAAATGTTATGGTCACTAATTTATATCTTATTGTTTACTATTTACAATTCATTAAATTTGCATGTTTATTCATATTTAGTAGTGTAATTTTATAAACCATATTTAGCATAACACTTATCTTTAGCGTGTTCTTTAATTAAGTTATATGAAATGATAAGTTAATTTTAATATTTTTGATTTGTTTATTATATAAATTTATTTTACAGCCACATCCTAATTCATGATCTCATCCCAAAAACGATTGATCTTTATTGGAAACAATGTTAAGCATCATGTTTCATGGGTTAAAAAGATGTTATGATATTTTACTTCTCCCAATCTACATGGAGATTATAACGATCAACAAGAAATTCAATGGTGCAATTGAGATGAAAGATGCTCAAGATTGTAACTCAGCTACCATCTAAACCACTGACACACCCGAAGAATGCAAAAGATTTGAAAGATATTGGCATGATAATTATAATTTTAGCTAGTTTTCAAGCAGTTAAATATTAGTTTCGGTATATAGTTTTTGTCTCTAGTGATATAACCAAAGAATGTTTTAGTGCCTAAAAAAATCAATATAGTATTGAAATCACACTTTTAATTGCTTCTTAATGAAATAGGACTATTGCTTCATCAACATAATCTCAACCAAAGATGACGGACATATCAAAAAAGATGATACAATTATAGTATGAATTAATTTAACCTAAAAATAAGCTGTTAGGTAAAAATATACCAAGGTTTTTATATTATCTCTAATAATATGATCACTTTCTGGAGAACGTTGCTATGGTTATATTATATGCTGCACTTTCTAGGGTGTTAGTAGATTATTTTTTAATTTTTAAATTACTAAAATAGAACAATATCGTATAAAGTTTTCATTAATAACGTGTCATTTTTATCATTTTACAAAAAAATTAACTTGCTACTTGTAGTTTTTTAATTTAATTAACAAAAACTTATTCTTTAAATACGAATTTCACTGTCATGTAATCCTTGATACAATCCACCTTATATGCTTCCAGCTCACACAACACACAACCTATGAACTTAGAAGGCGTTTGGTAGAGGATAAATTTTTTTGCCTGAGAATCATGATTCCTAGGAATGTGGTGGGAAAGTGAGATTCCTGGGAATATGACCAAAAAGTTGTTTAGTAGGCCAAAATTTTAACAGGAATATTGGATCAAATTTACTAAGTCTATGTTTGGTTAATTGTAAAATATTACTGGGAATCTGATGTGATTTTACAAAAATAACCCTACTTTCATTATTTTCTTCAAGCAGGATAAGGTTTTCTACACAAAGATTTTGAGATCTGGGTTTTCTTCACCCATCTTGTTCAAACACGATTTGCTCTAGAGTACAACAAGCTATTGTACATCTGGATAATCATTTTAAAAACCAACAATTAGCAATTCCAATAAAAGTGTTTCAGCAATGAACACTAAATGAACTATGAATGCACCATTCTAAATTGACAGTGAAAGACGACATGTATGGTTGGCTAGAGAAAAACATGAGAAAATGAACCAGATTGCTCCACAAAAATAGAAAAAGAAGAAGAGCAGGAAAAGGGTGGTGGGGTATGGAGACGAAGTCGGGTTGCTTGGTAAGTAGAAGAAGGAAGGGGAAGGGGCAATGAAGGACGAGGAAAAGAGGAAGGGAGGAAGAGATGAAGGTTTGAAGGTGAAGGGAAAGAAAGAGAAGAGGATGAAGCTGAGGCTAAGAGAAGCATTCTTATTCTTCTTCTTCCTCTTCACAGTCACAGAGCTACGTTGAGAGGAGTGAACCAGGTGCTTTATGGTGGAGTAATCATCATTCCCAGTACAATACAGGAATAGGTTTACAAGACGGTTATTTTAGTCAGCTTTTTTGTGTGCCATTTTCCATTTTCCCGGTAATCCAAGCATACCACCCAAAGGGTGGTATTCTTGGATGGTATTTTCAATCACAATTTGCTCACAAAACAAAATTCCGGAATTTTTTTCAGAAATTCTATACCAAACATGGATAAATAGGATTACCACCCTCACTTTCCCAGGAATCTCAAAATAAACCCTCTACCAAACCCCCCCTTATAGTGTATCCGAATTTCCCAATCACAACCCAACAATCCAGATAGGCCATTTTCTCTAGTTTTATCCACCGAGCCAAATTAAAACTAAACTTATTAAGGTAAAATTGTAATTTAGTATAATTTTAAAGGGCAATAGAATTCTTATGTTGCAGATGATGACATTTTTTCCTGCAGAAACAATCAAGTGGAGGTCCCACATGGAAGAAAAATAAAAAATAAAAACAAAAAAACATGCGACGCTAATTTTGAAGAGAGAGCTGGAGAAAAAATTTGGATTCCTACAGCATAAGATTTGATTTTCCCAATTTTAAATCATGGAGTGATAATAATACACTGTCTTATCATGGAGTGATTTTAAATCAATGAGGTTTCTACATCTTATCAAAACCAAAATAAGTAATTCCATTGCAAACAAAGGAAAACAATCCACATATGACCAGAAGGAGCATTGAAATGTACACAAATGTTTAGAGAGGAAACCAATTTTATTTTTAACAGAATACTAGCAGCCAAGTCTCCCATTACTAATCCAATTTAAAGTTTAACGATGGTAGGCTTGTAGTCAATGACAATCACTTTCTCCAAGGAGGGAAGGAGCAAATTTGCATATTCAACATGGGCAGGGTGAGCTACATACTCTGCAACAGCTTCCGTACTCTCAAAGGTTGATTCAAATATATGAGTAAAACCTTGATGCAGGTTTTCAGCACTTACATCCTTGCCCCTACAATACATAATAAACATGGAAGGATAATAGAAATGTTTTAATCAAGCCACTCTACAAGGGGTCTATCTGCAAATGTTTAGAAAGTAAGAAGCAATAGTTGATTGACATTTCTCAAAGCACCTACTTAAGTTCCATCTTTGCTAGCATGACAACAACATCAACATCAACAACACCTTTATCCCAAATTAATTGGGGTCGGTGGTAGATGAACCCACAGGAAAGATACAAAACGGTTGAAAAAAAAAATAAAAATAAATAAATATAAAATAAGATAAAACAAAATAACAATATATGTATATATAAATAAATAAAAGTAAAAAAGAAAGGGACAAGAAGAAGTGGGGGAAATGAAGGGGAAAAGGACTAAAAAGAGACCATCTAGAACATAGGAATAACAGCGGGTCTAACCCTCCACCATACTTATAGCTTTGCTAGCATGACAACACATAGTTTTAATTATAATTCAAATTTATATTCCATTAGGCCTTACCTGAGCCATTAAAACTGTTAAAAGTGTGCCAACATTGTTAGCCACGAGAAACTTACATAAAATATGGAAAGCCTTCAAGAGGGGGGAAACTTCAGAATAGTTGTGGCTTAACACTAGCACCTAAGGCTATTTGGCATGCAAAACCACATATATGACAAACATTGTCTACTGCCAATTTAAATAATTAGCATGTACCTTGACACATGAAAAATGTGAAAAATTTCCTGCAGGGCTACGAAGTCACTTCCATCTTATTGATAATATTAATGGTTCTCAAAAGGCAATGTCATTCACAAACAAATTTGAGTAGTAGTGAGATCAAACCAAGAGAAAGGAAGAAGACAAAAAACAGCCATTTTGCTTTCAAAATAACTCCTCTCATCCAATCTAATGTCAATACCCTTTAAAAATAATATCCTTGTTAATGAGAAAAGGCAATTAACAAATAGTCAGTTATACACAATGAACCCTATGAAAAATTTTTTTTTTATAGAAAATAATCTTTTCAGGTTGCAGATCACGGAAGCTAATACCATCATCACAAATTCACAATGACAACCCACATCTTAGTCATCCATTTCACTAGTCTATCTCACACTTACTAATATCATACTAACTTGTATAAATTACAAATAACAAAAGATCCTAAAATGCAGAAAAGCATACATCTTGATCTGAGAACCCTGTTTAGGAATCTCAGCAAAATTCAGACAGTAACAATTCCGATTGTGAATACTATAAGCAGTGTCCAGTGAACCAAAGTGATGTCTATATTAAATAATATTGGAAAGAAACCCAATTAATGTTTCACTGATTCTGCTTATCTCTATTTAGAACGCACTCATCAGCTAACCTAGGCAACCCAATTTTAATGAATTTATAAAAAATTAAATTTTTTTGGTCAAATGGGTCCATTTTTTTGCCCTGACCTAAGTGGGTAGTTGAATTGCAAGAAAACAAAGACATAAAGAAGAAAGAGATAGAATGAAAGGGGTACCATTGGAAAGACTTCATGGGAGGGACGAGATTGACGAGATTGGCATAACTCTTTATGAGTTCCTCAATCTGTTGTGGAGTGATGTCATCCTTGAACTTTCCAAGGACTATGTGCTTCACTGTTCCTTTTGCTTCCTCCATCTTTCTTCTCCTTTCCCAACCTTGTCTCTTTTTTCTCTTCTTTCTTTGTCCCTCTCACTCTTCTAATTTCTAGATCTGTATAGACTATAGTATATGACTATATGTTAGGTGAGCTGGAAAAGGAGCATTGACGTTAATTAAAATTCTTTTTAAATGTAGTTTTTGGTTAACCCTGCTTAAAACAGTAGTTATTATATTTCATTAAACTATCTTAAGTATTTTTTAAAAATTAAATGCTTTTTTTTAACTTTTAAAGTATTAAATCTTTTTTTATTAGGACCTATTTTGGCTGACTACACCCTGAAATGTAATGTATTCAGTATATGTAAAAGGGAAATACTTTTTTTACGTAGAAAAATAATTATTTCATGTTGTAGAAATAAAATTATAAGTGGGATCCACATGTAAGAAAAAAAAAAGAGTGATAAGACTCACCCCTCTTTTGTGTGGGTAGAAAAATTATTTCTCTCATGTAAAATGAGATAAATATAACCTACTTAAAATCTGACAATTAAAAAATGTGGAAAATTAAAAAACAGTGAAAACAAAACAAGCAGTTAGCAGTTACACATTGTTTGTTGTCCTTCTTCTGTATGTTTTCTCTTTTGCAATTTTCTTATAATTTCAAGTTGAAGCTGAAAAGGGATGACATTGAATTGTTTCAGGTTGAAGGGACTGTGTTCTGCACAGATGCTAATGGAGCACTCGTTGATATCACTGCAAAGTCTTCGGCATATATGACCCCACAAGAGATGCATCCACAGAGTTAAGCATGTGGAAGAAGCAGCCATAGTTATTGGGTTGAGGGAGGAGTTTTTAATCATTGGTGAAAATGAAGCAGATGATGGCTTGATCTTGAGTTTAAGGGCTACCCAGTACGACTTTGCATGGGAACGTTGTAGACAACTTCAAGCAGAAGACGTTGTCAAGGGTAAGGTGGGTTTTCCCTGCTATGAATTTAGTTCAAGATTTAGCATAAGTTGAGTGGATTTCAAATTTCAAAGTAGTCATGAAAGGAAAAGCAACCCTCTACCAAGTGAAGCATGACAAAAACTATTCCTGTTATCCCTGCAATTCAGTGGTTAATTTGATCTTAAAATTACATTAACTGGTTCTTCTTGTCTGTCATAACTCATATCAATGCACTTTGTGTGGCAAGTTGTTGGTGCAAACAAAGGTGGAGTGGTGGCAGAGGTGGAAGGCCTTAGAGGGTTTGTTCCATTCTCACAGATATCAACATTTAGCACTTAAGCTATATTGACATTTATGAACTTGAATAAGGTTTAAACTCGCTGTTTGTCAAGAGTTTCAAAACATGGGGTGGGGAACTGGCAATCAGATGATGATCACTTGAACTGCATCTAATTGTGTGTTTTACCAATGAATGTATATTGCAAATTATTAATGCAACATATCATGTTACTGTACGAAGAATGCCATAGCCGTAATAATTTTTGGTATACAGGCTTGTGAACTTCAAAAATATCATCTAATGTTCTTATCAATGTTGAAATTGAGTCATGCAATTTTCCTAACTGAACTTGTATGCTTCTACAAGTTCTAAAGTAGATTATTCTGGGGGTGAAAGAAAGTATCTTAACATGTTCATTTCTTTCTTTCATCTAGCTTCCTAATCCTAAGACATTGAGTTTAAATTTTCTTATAATTTTGGCAACCAACTTAAATTCTTCTCCTTTTGCTTATTTATTATCTTCTCAGAAATCAACTGGAGAAGAGCTAATTGAGAGAGAGCTTCCTCTTAAGTTTGTGGAGGTAGTAGATGAGGAACAATCTAGACTTGTCCTCAGTAACCGCAAGGCCATGGCTAACAGACAGGCACAGCTAGAAATTGGATCAGTAGTTAGTGACTCTGTTCAAAGCCTTAAGACATGGTGCCTTCATTGACATTGGTGGAATTAATGGCCTTCTTCATGTCAGTCAGATCAATCAAGACCGTGTAGAATACCAATGCCTTCATGATCCGCAATCCAAAGCTCGTCTTTGAGAAGGTGTTTTTCGAAGAAATACTCTTGAAAATTTAACCGCATTTGGTTAAGTATAATTTTTTTTTTTCTAGGAAATTACGATTTCTAGGAATATGGTGGAAAAGTATAAAGTTACCAAAAAATTGTTTGGTAGGCTAAAATATTACCGGAATTTTGTCCCCAAAAAAGTGTAAATTTTTTCCAAACACCTGAGATTTCCTTTGGTGGTATTCTTGGATGATATTTTGAAAAAAAATTATACACAAAACAAAATTCCGCAAAATTCAGACTCCTATGAAAATTTTCAAAACTTTATATCAAATATAGAAAAATAGGATTACCACTATCACTTTCCGAGAAATCTCAAAAATTCCCTCCTACCAAACAGCCTCTGAGTTGTTATATATGTAAATTATAAGTGTAGAATATGAATGACTTTCATCAGTCTCAATTGTTTTCCACTTACTACCTTTTTAGCTATCATATGTCTTGGTTTGACATCCTATAGGAAGCTAAAAAATGGGCTTCCTTCCCTTTTAGTTCAGTTATTTGTTTTTCATCTACTAAACCCTTTTCATTAGCATTGGCATTTTTTGAAGGAGAAAGCACACATGTTATTCTGAATCTACTTCCAGCGATTAGCAATTTATCTTGGGGCTTGGTATCTTATTTTAATCACCTTATTTGGTATCTATTTGCTTATTAAAAGTTCAAAATTTTCATAGTACATGTTGAGAGGCATGGTGTTTGTTCATTTGATGGACCTATGTAAACCTTATACTTTGATTCGCAGAGTGGATTAACTCTCAGTGGTGATGGGATTGAGAATTGCGCGGTCTTTTTTTCTTTTTTTTTCTTGGGGTACATTGTTTTGAAACTGCTTGTAACTATCAAATCTTAATGCAGAACGATGTCTTGTTGTCATTGTATTATTGTATGTTAATCAGATAGAATTATTAATATTACCATTATACTAAGAATGTTCCTTTCGTTTCACCAAGGAAGTATATGTTCATTGTTTTGTACCTACCTGAGCAAACTACCTAAACACTGCTACGTCTTCGTAACATAATTCCAGTATTGCGGTTAAAACAATAAAGTTCCAATTGCATCAAAATCTGGTAAATGCACCTGAAATTAGATAAGAAGGTAGGACATGCTATCTGTGTGGCTTTTAACTAGAATGATGCGGTTTATTAAACTGTATATTAAAAGGGAGAAAAAAATATCTACCTTATTTAAGCATGAATCAATCGTGTAGGAATGTAACAGTTATGTATTGTTGTCGTTAACATGTAAACTTAAACTCCTTTAGATTAATATTGTCAAACCCGTAATTTGCGAATGAATACGGTTAATGATATGACACCGTTTAAATGCACTGCGAGTAATAAGAATACAACTATTAAGAGCTTTTAAGATATCCAAGTGAACGTGGACTGTTTGTAACTCAAACTTTCAAGTAATTGTATTAATGTTATTTTAAGTAATTTCAAGAAACATAATGATTAAAATTCTCTTGAACAAATGTTTGTCATAAAAAATAAACTTTAGAACGTTACAATGAAGAATATGTAAGCTTTTCTTTTCTTTGAGGATTAATAAGGTACATCTTATTTCACTCACTACTCTTAAGCCCCATTTGCCGTATAAAATTGGAATACCATCTTCAATCTAACTACAACATTTAAATTTTCATATAAACATAACCATAAATCTTTCAAGATATTTATCTTGATTTTAATTTCATCCTGTTAACTATTTAAAATTCCATTAATTCAGAAAAAGTCTCAAACGCAGTCGCATCATGTTTTTTTAGCGTCAAATGGTAGTGGAGCGAGGATAGCAACATTAGTAGCAATTTTTCCTTCAGATACAAATTAACAAAATATCCCAGTGGAGTTTTGTTTTAGTGATCATAGAAAACTATCAGTAAAACCCCTGGGAGAGGGTGAACTTTACAAAATCAATTCATATTTTAGATATTTACATTTACACAAGACACAAATTGATAATCATGATAAATAATACACACGCGCGCGCGCACGTGCACTAGGTATTTTTGTTCTTCATTCCATACCATCCGATTATTTGTCGTCTCCAATGCCACTCTGACAACTGTCTATCGGAGAGTCATTCTCCACCGGTAGTATCAAACCCAAAGATACCGTTAATTCCAACGTCTCCTCTTAACTTAAATCAAAGCCAGCATCGGCATTTATGGCATACAGTAATTTGGTTTCCAATTGCTCCTTACTGTAACATGTTTATCAGGGAAAATAGTTTTAAAACTAGGCAAAAATTGATTCAACAATGATAACAGGAAGCAAGACAACCAAAAGAGACGAGATAATATGACAAGTTAAAATAACATCCCAAATCCAAACGCACGGTTTCAAGAAGTTCAAAATAACAAATTAAGCTGCGTATATACGACTATGTAAAGAAAGATGGCTCAAAAAGCGTCTGTTTTCACGATCATAATAATAGACTTGAGATCAATGATCATTCTAGGTGAAATAGTAACACGGAAATCATAAAGCACACACCTATTCTTCCCTTTCTTGAAAAAATGCAGAAAAACGTGGCATACGCAATGTATGAACTAAAATTGACACAAATGAAGCCTGTATGGAAATTTAAAGAATATTATTCAGAAGGGATGAAAATTTGTTCATGTTAAGTATATCCAGATGCTGACTATGCAGCATCAGTTATTGATAGAAGGTCAACCTTTAGTTACTCTATGTTCTTGTGTGGAAATCTAGTTTCGGCAACGGCCGAAAGAGTTTATGAGCTACTATGGATGAAGATTATATTGGATGATATGAAGATAAAATATGAAACTCCTGTGAAGTTATTCAGTGACAACAAATTAGCTATCAACATTGCCCATAATCTGGTTCGTGGCAGAACTAAACAGACCGGCATCTCATACAGGAGAAACAAGATAGTGAATTGATCAAATTGATCAACTTAACTTATGTTTCTTCAGAGGATCAGCTAGCATGTGCGTTAACCTAAAGGACTTCCTTCAAAGAGGTTGGCAAGCTCGGAATAATATTATATGCATTCACCAGCTCGAAGGGAGCATTGTGATAAATCTCACCTCATTCCAGCACATTTCACCACATAATATTCTCTATAAATCATTGTAACCATTGTAAAACATTTTGTTGTCATAGTTTAGTCATTATAGTAGAAAAATAACCATTTAGTTAGGTCTATATATTAGAATGAACCCATGGACAATATCATTTCAGAAATAATATTCAGTATTTTCCCATTCAAGTAATATTATTATTAATGTAAAAATGCCCCATCGTTCCTAAGATCAAATCTACTAAGCATAAATCTACTAAGCAGTAACGAAACAAATTTAAAGAATTTCAAGCTATGTACCATTCTCTCTCCCCCTAATAATTTTAGTTTCAAACATAAACCATACAATCAAAAACCACTTCCCGTTAAACTCAACTAGCGAGTGTGGAGTGGATGTAATCCTTGTACGCAGTCTTACTCTTGCATAATTGCAAAGAGGCTGTTTCCTGGATTCGAACCCATGACCTTTCAGTCATGAAAGAACAGTTTTACCACTGTTCTGGTTCACCCCCTTTACATAAACCATACAATCATTGCTCATTATTGTTCACTGACGGAACAGAATTTCTCATTATTCATGTCAGCATTACCAGTTCAGATATCTTCAACTATGGCCCTTTGCATTTTCTACAACAGTAACTACAAAACAATTCCATGTCAGCTTTGCAAAGGTAAACTAGCCTAGGACAAACCTTCTATAAGGCGGAAGCTTTAGTAGATTCATACAAGTAGCTGATGTCGGTAATCGATCAAGAGATTCCTCAGAAGCATTACCAGCAGCCCTACAAGAGACATCAGACAATTCCACTCTGTCATCCTTGTCTTCTAAATATACAAAGACATAGAAGGAAAAGAAAACAATTTGAGTAATATTTTTGAAAAACAAAAATCAGAACATAATTGCTGTAGCAGCATTCACCTTTGTATGCATAGCAAAGGTTCAAGATATCGAAAACCAAGCAATGGCCCACGAGAGCAACCTGTCACAAACCTGTAAAGATAACAATTTTATTATCCATATTGAGATCTGTCGTGTAAAAGGGATACTAAATTCTATATCTATGCATATCTTACTTCAAAAATTTCTTCCTGTTTTCCAATGAAAAGCCTTTGAGAACTTCCCAGAACATCTCAATCACATAATGCTCCTATCAGAAGAAATCACATGTTAGAATTCTGTAGTGTCAATAAGAACAAAGCTTTTTTAAGGCCAATGGGGTGTGTGGCCCTTCTCATCAGAACATCAAACATTGAGACTCTGCAACGATATTTAGACTGAATGGCAAAAGTAAAAATGAATACTACAAGATCCACAAATCCTCCTCAAGTTGCAGTTTAACATGAAGCAACTAAAGCTTTTAATTGTTCCTCAAGTTCTTTCTTTTGCTTTCCCCAGTAATCAGCTAATATCATAGATTTGACCCAATTTCATATTTCCAGCATATAATAATAAGCAATAATGGAAAAAGAAAATTAAAAACCATATACCAAATGATTTTTAAATAGCCTAATTAAATATTCAAACATAAATTAGATAACATCAAAGATCGAGGCTGAAGATCAATCTAGGAAAGCTGAAAAATTATGGTATCATTTGAATATTTCCTGCTAAGGCATTACTGACTAAATCCACATAAATGCCAAAGAGGGCTTACACTATGATAGCCTCCTGCATAGTTTGTATGCAGCCTCAAATCATCAAAATCCAAGCTGTCAATTGAACCTGATATCAGAAGCTGTGGAAAACAATAATGTCAAGCAAGTTTAAATCCCATTAAGAAGCAGCTACAGATGTTAACATTCTTTTAGAGAGAAAACTACTTGAAGATCACACCAAAAAAAATGACAATAAGGAACACAAAAGAGTGGGATAAGGCTTCCATGTCACTGCAATAACTAAGGATCATTAGGAACATAATTTGCAACTAAAGATAAAATTCAGTTATGTGCCTTTCTAGCAACGAGAAAGTTAGATAATTACATTTAGGAGAAAATGACAAGCATCCAGTGATTGAATACATCCTTAACATCACCGTGCAAGAGCAAGTATTAAAACCAACAATATGATGGAAAAAGAGAAAAGCATAGCTTTCAAGACCCGAAAGTGGACAAGATTATGAAAAAAACCTGAAGTTCATGCTCATTAAAGATATCAATCCAATCCTTCTGAATAAGTTGCTGAAATCCCCTCAAGAAATGAGAACTTTGTTGGCGTATCTGAAAGCATAATTTATTTATTTTTATAAAGTAATGAAAATGAATTGATTTGTAGTACAAGATGCAATCCAAATTAAAACAAAAACATTACCTGAAAATTCAAGCGGTGATTGGCGACAAGATGAATAAAAGTAATGACATTCTCATTAGTGACACGTAGGTTCCTTCCTCCAGGAAGCAGTTCCTCCTCTGTTTGCTCGCCATATTCATTATTTACCATAACAAAGTATAGTTCCAACTCCGAAATATCACCATCATAATGCTGTTCATAAAAACAAATTAAAGGGGCAAAAATTGAGTCATTCAAGAAAATAGAGGATGTCCCACAAAGAAATCTACCACCTTTAAAAACCATATAAAACCCCCAGCCCAAACCCAAAGTCCATACGTGAATACTATTTAATTGCAATGCAAAAACACATTACTTGTTTCAAATGACATCCAAAGTGTTTAATGTTGTACCAAAAAATAAATGAATATAAATAAAAACAAAAAAAGACGAAAAACGAAAAAACAAAAAACACTTTGAATAAAAAAACTAAACCCTAACTAGAAGGAGGAGGGGGGGGGAGGGGGGGGAGGGGGGGGGGACTAACAAGCTCATATTGAACTTTTTTAAGCCTTGATTACAGAATCCAATATTCAGAAATGGAATTGTATGTGTAAAATGAAGTCAATAAATAGTCAGAACTCAATACAAAAAGACCCACATGGATTAATAAAGGCTAAAATGAGATACCCGTAAATAATTCGTTGTTTATCCCAATGTTAGAGAGATAGAAACATTAATAAGTTTCTTGTGAACTGCAATAGCTAATATTTAGTAATATATACATGTCAATATGCATATTAAATTTGTGTTGTGTTATTATTAAAATAGTTTTCTTTAACTTATCCATATATATGTATTAGTAAGATAATTATTTCTCTCTTTATTTTTTTAAATGTAATCTGATTCAAATGCCAGTTAAACGGTCAAACCATGAACTGGTAGTCTTACCTATTTGATGAACAGCCTGGTTTTTAAAACACTGGATGTACAACTCAACAAATCACAATGATAAACATAGTAAAATTACCATGAGTGGCCGCATCAAACATTTGATTTATAATGCATGAAATCCTATCTTATTCCTAAGAAAGTAGCGGCAGTAAGTTGACTTCCAATAAGGAGAGACATTTAAGTTATACATTTTTTTCTTATTGACTCCGACATATATGTTAAAAAGAATAAGAGTTGGCATATGACTGTGTCCAATGCAAGTAGACCAAAGCCAAAGAAGTGGCATTACCTTGAGAAAAATAAGATGACGATATAGTTCTGGGTCCAAGGAAGGCAAGTCATTCAAATAGTTGTACCTGATATAAGGGAAACTAAAGGTGTAAGAAAGCAAGAAATATAGCATACTCTTATAGCATACCAGTCTAACACATTAAAGGACTTCCACAAATTCAGAAAAGACTCATTTGCTACAATCTCTTTCCAAAAAATAGTAAATCTAAGTACAACACTTTGGCAATTCTTTTTTTTTTTTTTAATATTTTGACCTAACAAATTGAATTAAAAAATATTTAATCCATGAAAATCACTTCAATAAAGGGGAAAAAGGAAGAATAGCTTGCTTACTAGAGTGCACACCACACAAATCATTTAATATGCTATCCTATCTGAATTAAACTTTAAAAAAAAAGTAAGTTTGTTCCAGATTTTAAGAAATAAGTAACAATGACACATTTGTATTGATTAGTAAGTGTACAAGTTTAATTAATTTCTACAAAAATACAATTTATCCACCTCCAGCTACATTTATATAAATGGCAATGCTACCGAGTCACATTTGTGAATCTCACATTAGTAAAGAGCAGCAGTAAGCAAGGAAAGAAAAACATAAAAATCCAGGATTTGAGCATTAAACAGTAAACACATTCAATTTAAATGAACAAACTACCTAAAGCAGAGCAAAAGACTCCTTCGGCCTTACTTTTGTTTCAATTTGCTCAAGAAGAATGTGGCAAATGGTACATCGACCAGGATTCCTTCAAACATAGCCTGCACAAGTAAGTAGTAACTGAAACACTGTCCCGATTAAGCGTAACCACAATAGGAAAAGAATGTAGACCAATTCAAACCATGTGAGTATGTGACAAAGAAGACAGAACAGCATTTGTAGTAGATTCATTCATTCAATGCAAAGCACTTTATTAAAGAGACAAATTAAAAAGGGAAGGGAGGAGGAGGGGGTACCTTTGCAAGAAGAGTACCAAGAAAGTGAAAAAATTGGAAATGTTGTTCATGTATCATTCCTGATCCAGGATTAGGATAAAGCAGGTGATCTGCTGTTTCCTGGATGTCGGCATGCCAAGAATCAGTAAATCATAAGGTAAAAATATAAGGATGACAAGGGAAGGATTATAAACTGAAGTAACATTCAATCACTCTACCTACCCAATTGCAACCATATTTTGATTCTCAAATACTCAAATATCGAATTTGGTAACATTGGATACTGTGTTGAAAATAACCTTCATATCAAATACAAATAATAGCATGATATTCATATTACCTTAAATAATCCATACTGTACATCAAACGCAGCACGTGCAATGTTCTCCATGAAATCTTTGAATATTCCACCGCCATCAATTCCAGCTTCTTCAACTCCAAATTCATTGACAAAAGTCACACGAATCTACAAGACAGCAAAAAGTAATCCCTCTTGCATAAAAGGAGGACTTACTAATTCTAGTTCCCCTAAAGACCAGAAAGTAGGGAATGATTAATAAATATGGCAATGAGCCTTGAAAAGGGTTTTACCAATCCTCGAAGATTATCTTCTGACAACTGACTCATTTGATTATAAGCATCTTCCAAAATACGGTCTCGTTTGATTCTGAACCGGTTTCTAGTCAATACTGCATGAGATCCATGTCTTTGCCTAGCTGCAACTAGTTGAGACTGACGAAACAATAAATAGATTATAGTCACTGTAAACTAATATATGAATGGACCAGTGACATTATGATAAGCAGAAACTCCAAAAAATTGCTGACAGCTATCTATTGTAAGTACATGATACAAAGATAACAAGTATCAAAATCAAAACTAAACAGTGAGATTCTTACAGAGAATATTTTAACCCTGCTTGTAAATGGTATCAAGAAAGGGGCCTGCTTCAAAATTTCATTTGCTCGTGTATGCTCCATTAAAGCCTGTGGAAAAAGGATTATAAAAATAAGAAATTAAGTTTCTATTCATATAACCTTGAAAATCAATGATGGAGAGAATACCTGAGAGATAAAGAAGTCATTCACCCCATCAGCATGGAAGTCACTGGGGGAAGTAAATTGCCGCCTGTTGTTCCAATCTTGCAGCTATGGAAGAATTTCAAAATGCAAGTTAGAAACATGATAAAGGAAGACCAATTCACATCATATGGCTATTGGTGGAAAATAAATATGCATTCCTCTTCCGAGTAACAAATACAAAGGATCTTGTAATACAGAGATTAGAAAGTAAGGAAAACCTCAATATCCTTTTACTTATTTGATATGTAAAGAACCAATTCAATTCAAAAGCTTAAGCTGTTGGGTGAGGCTACATTAACGGTTTTATTTCTCTAACACGCCCCTTCATACGACAGCCCACTGAGCTTGAAGAGTAGACAATGCACAGGCCCACCTACCTGTACTTAGAAACTCCACAATGCTTAATTGATTATTAATTAAATGGGGGGCGGTGAGGATTGAACCCGTGACACCGAGGCTCTGATACCATGTAAAAAACTAATTCAATCCAAAAGCTTAAGCTGTTGAGTAAGGCTACATTAACGGTTTTATACTTCTCGAACATGATAGAAAAAATATCTTATTAGGGAGAAAAGAGTGAAAGTAGAACTAGAGATATAAGATAACCCCCAAAACAGAATAAGGAAGAAACAAAAAAGGAAAAACAAGGAACAAAAACTGAAGCAAAAGCTGCCCATTCTCTCTGCATTAGAAATAGAAATTCCTCTGAAACACTCCTGAGCATAAAAACAAAAAAGCCATAAAAACAAACCAATTCTAAAGCAAAACCCTAAGAGAATGCCCTTAGAGATATAAAAAAATATAGAATATCATGATATTTTCCTACTGAGATGTAACAGGAAACATGAAATAAGATATACAACATGTAGACTGTTTCTACCTGGGAGAGAAGCTCAGAGACAACAACGCTAACCCTCTGTTGAATGGCTTGAACAGACTGCCTCTTACTAGCGGAACTAACTGGAACAGATTTCACCGAATTAGCAGATGTGGTATGATTCACCCACAGTAGCTGCCACAGAGCCTGTGGAAACAGAAAAATTACCCAGAATTAATTGTCACTGCAAATAAGCTCCCACTTGTATTCAGAGTTTCTGCAGAAACCATGAGCATGGTCAAGGCTACCTATTTTACAAAAATGTAACATACCCTAGTTCTTTGGACTCATATATACTAGTGGCATACAACCTTGCAAAGATTCAACACACCTTATTTAGGTCATACTTAACTCTATCCATCTTTTTTTCTAAGGAGTTAAACCACAAAACTCTCAATAATTTTTCCTACAAAAACAGATCATAAAACACCTTACCTGTCTCAATATAATGATAAGGCTTCTAATATCCTTCAGTGATAGTGGTTTCTCCTGCTCGTAAAATTCTTCATTATCAACTATCATAAGCATGTGTCTGATAAGAGAAAAATGGGATATAGTATACTTAAGTCATCAAGATCAAATAGAATATGTTTAATGTTGAAAAAAAAGGCAACCTTGAGCAGAGAGAGAACATTTCTTGCATCCATTCAAGAATTTATTAAACAAGATAATAGTACAAAACAATCTTACTTGTAGACCGGACAGAACACAGCCAGAGGTAACAGCCAACCAGGTGCATCACCCGAGAGGTATGATAACCACTCAGACAAAGATGACCATTTTTTATTCTCGTGGCACCGCTTCATAAAATTCCAAAGCATTGGAACAAGTTCAGTTCTGTAAGCAAGCACAGTCATAATCCGTTCAAGTGGCAGTTTGCTGAAGGTAACATATAAAAACCAACAAACCGCCCCAACAGCTGAAACCTCTCTATCATCTGGTGCATAATCTGAACCACTGACAGATGAAATCTCTTTAAATAGTATATTTGTCTGCACATGTCAAGAAGTAAACATTCTCAATCAATTTTTAGAAAAAATGATATAGAAAATTTACCAATCAGATGACATTTTAGATACAAATGTCATTTGTAAGATGGTATACCAGTTGCAGAAGGAAGCGAGGATTTATGCCATTATAAATTTGCTGCTCCAATTTCCTATCTAAAGCTACTTCCGTGACTTCATCATTTCCAATTATGTCATCCTCAACAATCATAGAACCTGACATTAACGCTCAAAAGCTTAAGAGGAAACAGTAAGGAGGGAAAACCATCCCGCTTTATTAAAAAATGATCAATTTAAAAACCATAAAAATGTATTTCAGAATTTGATGAAGTAACTAAGCACGATACCATGTTATGTGCAGGTCAAATTCAGAAACAATATTGTAGGTTTATTTGTTTGGGGTTCTTGGTGAACAATGGGCATGTTCTTCCACTTTAGACTTAGGAGAAGTTTCTCATCATACACTTAAAAAAAAAAATTGTCCGGAATGAGGAGGCTGTGACATTATGACAGTGCACAGTTTTAGCAGTTCTCTAATATATTTGGTTGGAGAAGGGTGCCTGCATTTACAATGAGTCTACCATGAAATTTATTTTGGGATAGACTTGGGCTTGTTCTGCCCATGGTTGTATCAATGGAGCTTATATAACTGACATGAAAAGAGATTTGACTGTTTTGTTGCATTTTTGGGCCACTTTGGCTAGCAGTTCTTCTTTCCATTTTTTCAGTAGGACTATTCATCTTTCCCTGGATGTATTTTCCTGTTTTTCTTTCTATTAATACATTCTTTTATACCAAAATAAAAATTACGATGGTATTCTTCAGTAAAAGTAAAATCTAAAATTAAAAATGTAAAATAAAATCGAGCATATTATAAGAAAGCATACCATCTATACTATTGGATGTTTTCACAGATGGGAGTGGCTCGAGCAAAAACGTAGTAACAGCAGCAAGGTCTATGGCCTGAATGAGAACAAACAGAAATCAAATTAAAAATTGAGTTCATGAGCCAAAGTTTGAAGCTTCAATTGCATGCTTGCTTCAAATAATTTAAACCGCCACCCCAACAAACAAAAAAAGATTCACTTTAAATGTCAAATCTAAAGAAAAAGCTCTATTTAAATGATCTAGAATGTAAAAAAGTGAATCCTTTTTTGTTTGTTAAAAAAGTGTCAGAATACTAGTCCACAGCTCTAAATTCATTAGAACGCAAATCTAGATTCATTAGCATATTTTGTACATGTTAGAATATTAGCCAACTATGGTTATGATTATGGGTAATAATTGATATTAATTAGCTCTTTATTCTGTAATTAGTCCTTGATTAGCTCATGTACTAAATGCACTCAAAGTACCAAAAAGATGGACTAAGTGTAAGTAATGCATATGCACTTTCTTTCAAACACTCATTGTTTCTATAAGAAATAATAGATAGATCAAACTTCCATGACTTGTTCAATATGTAAAGCCTCAAGGCCCTAACCCAGCATCCCTGTAAATCTTTTCCCCCTAATGATCATTCAACATTTAGTGAAAAAAAAATTTGTAAGTCTGACCCAACCACAACAATAAGTACACAAAAGTTAGCAAAAAGAAGAAAAAAGGATGCAAAAGCTGGTCATTTTAGCATTGCCTCTGCGTTGTCCTTTGAGAATTGCTAGAATATTAGAATGAAAGGACAATCATAAGTTCTACATTATATTTTTATTACTGTAACTTGATGCACACAAACAATACTGAGCTAGCATGAGAAAAACTCTTCATGACACTCAACGATTCCTCTTTAAAAGATACTTATAAATTGACATTTTGTCAAGAAAAGCACTTTTTTGTCCAAAATTTGTGTAACACGTGTCCTATATATACGGTTGGTCAGTCACATTTATAAATGGCAGAAAAGAAAAGCATATTATCAAGATTTGAAGAATTCCATGAGAAGACAAAAAGATTTTGGAATAATTAAGAAGATTTTATAGAAGTTGTGACAAAGTCAATACAAGATGTGGGCTCCTACAGATTGCAATTACCCTTTCTATAAATTGTAACAAATTCTAAGTTAAACTTTCACCCACAACCACAGTTAAGAGTGTTAGTGTTAATAGTGTAGAAGTCCCGCATTGAGTGTGTCTCTTTGTATTCTTCAATTGGTTTGCTATATAATAGCACCAATGTTGTGTAGTTTAATACAACAAGGATTACTATCATTTCCTCTTGTATCTATGAGATTTAACATGATATCAGAGCCTAACAAGAGGAATCTTAATCCGTTTAACTTAGTTCTATTTTCCATAATTTCAATATGGTTATAGAGAGATATCACCCTCCTTGAGGGATTCCCGTTTCTTTTTCGGGTTTTTCTTAGTATGCTCTGTGACTGCAGCTTAGACTGATCTGTCACATCAGAAAAGAATGATCCTTGGGAAGTTGTTGGGTTGACCACCGTTGTCGTTGACCGACTACCGTTGACCGCGTCGTCCACCGTTGACAGCCTTCTCCGGCGACTTTTCCGGTGACTTTTGATTTTCCGGCGACTTTTTCGGCGATCCACCACCGTCTCCGACGAACCACCGCGAAGCTTTGTTTTTCTTTAATCTTCTTTCTTCCCAAGATGGAGTATTTATACTATTCATCATCCATCTTGAGGGGGAGCACTGTCCAAGTTGCTGATGTTGTCTCCGCTAATGTTAATTCCAACACCGAAGTTCCTCTTGAGGGGGAGCACTGTCCATGTTGCTGATGGTCATTCCAGCATAATTATCTTTGCCGATGATAATTCCGACACTGTTTAGAAGTTCCTCTTAAGGGGGAGCACTGTCCATGTTGCTGATGGTCATTCCAGCACAATTGTCTTTGCCGATGATAATTCTGGCACTGTTTAGAAGTTCCTCTTGAGGGGGAGCACTGTCCATGTTGCTGATGGCCATTCCAGCACAATTGTCTTTGGCGATGATCATTTCGCAATCTTCCATGTTGATATTCATTTCGACGCCATTTTTAGCACATTGTTGATTTTTGGTTTCTCATTTAGGAGATTTATTTTGATGTTATGTTACTTGGTCTTTCTTGTAATAAGCTTGTAGCATAGTCAAGGGGAAACCACGGCTGCTCACCAACTGTTAAATGAAATGTCTGAGAGGGATCTTGATACTGATGTCCTGGTCAGCTCAGTTGTCTTTGCCGATAATAATTCTGGCACCATCCATGCTCTGATGTCCATTCCAGCACTGTCTCTTTATCAGCTCTTCAGACTGATGGTCATTCCAGTTGATTTGTTGTACTTAGTCATTTCATTTCGTTGATGTAGCATTGTTGTTTTTTGGTTCCTAATGGGAGTATTATTTATGTATCAAGCTTGTAGCATATGATCTATATGCTACAGCTTGAGGGGGAGTGTTAAGAGTGTTAGTGTTAATAGTGAAGAAGTCCCACATTGAGTGTGTCTCTTTGTATTCTTCAATTGGTTTGCTATATAATAGCACCAATGTTGTGTAGTTTAATACAACAAGGATTACTATCATTTCCTCTTGTATCTATGAGATTTAACAACCACAATAATTCAGCTGCAGATTAAAGGCCCATTACTGCATGAGATAATTGAAGGAAGACCTCCAACATCAAATGTAATAAAAGAAAAGCAATTCAAGTCTTTCTTGTCTACTGTTTTATAGAAGATATATAATCAACACCTTGTAACTCTCTTGTCTCCCATAATAAAAGCACCTTCATGTAAGCAAATAAAAACCTATAGGGGACATCATCAATTCCATTTTAATAAAAGTAAAGATCAAAATTCCTACTGCATCAAATGTACATCAAGAGAACTATCTCTTCAACTAGATTAGTCATAATGTGAGATGTATGAAGCAAGTGAATCTGTGAAAGTTAATAACAGGTGCATACTGCAGTGAATAAGCTCCTTACCATATCAAGTGAACAGTCAGGATGAGACAAAGCTATTGCAGCAGTTTCTAATATATTTCCAAGGATACAGGCATAGCTAGGAAATTCATTTGATATATCCTTAGGTAGTAAATTGATCAGATTTTGACCAAACGTTGCCATTTGATGAATGTAACATTGGCTTAGGTCCTCTGCTGCAAAAACCTGAGTACCAAAGATAATAAACGTTTTACAAAACATCCAAAAAAAAAAAGATCTGGAACACTGGCAAGCACACAAAGGATCCTCCAGCATGAAGACTGGAGATATCATGAAATGATTGTAGACAAAAGCAATAAAAAAGTTTAAATTATCAATCACTCTTAATCAGCTTAAAGCCCTCCTGGTGTAGATTCCAATTCAACTATATGTGCAATTATTAAGTCCAGTGTAGGTCCCTTATCACATCTAAAAATAGAGTAAATAATCCTTTCACATTGTCCAGTTGCTTATGAGTGAAGGATTGCTTTGTTGGTTTTTTGTTTTCATCCAGTTGGAATTTATTGGGGGATATAAGTTGATTGCCCATTTAAGTGTTATGCAATTGTGCAAAAGGAATTAGAGATATGAATTTATGCATTAAATTATTCAATATGTCTATTTTGACAGAAGCATTGAAGGAATTTTAAATGAGCTTAGAACTCACAAAGTAAATTGCAGATGCAGTATCCGAAGACTTTCTTTCAATGGTTCCTCGTGAATTTTAAAAACCAAGGTTTCTATGTTAATTTTCTAGCTTCTCTAAATTGTATTAACACTTTTCCTGCTTTTAGTTTTCCCTAAAAATTTATGAAAAGGTAGGCATCATTTATGACTAATACATCTCGTAACCTTCTACTTATCACAAAGAAAAGGAACCCCATCAAACAGAATTAGAACACATACCTGTCTTAAGTTTGGGAAAAGATGCCACAAGAAAGGAATCGTAATGATCTGTGAAGAAAAGCTATATCTTGGATTGATATGTGAACAGATACATGGCTTCTGACCAACGTGACATATTACAGCCATAAGCATACGCTCCAATGATGATCCCTTTCCAATGGAAAAACAATTTTCTGCATTATCCTACAGCAGATCACTTAGGAAGTTTAAGTATTTGACTGATAAATGATATGAATTATGATAGATTAACAATAAGAATGACACAGATGGAGTAAACAACTTATATTGCATATTTAATCCATTGGCCTAGTTTTTTTTTTTACAAGGTAGGAGAGCCCAATTGGGATCTAGGTGGGGAAAAGGGGAAATTGGTTGTTGGGGCACTATTGTAACCTGATTTGGTGGGTAACAAAATTTAGAGATTTGTATTGTCCCTTGGAATGCTTTATGTCCGGTAGTAATATCGGTTGAACAATCAAATGAAGTACATTCTTTTTGTGCTATGTTGTCCCTTACTTTTTAGCAAAACAAATGCACCCTACGGCTCCTTAGTGACCACAGGAGGTGCCACTTGGCTACAAAGCCATTGGCCTTGTATTTCTTTACTAAATAGATTTTTACACAGAAGAATAATATAGAATCAAAAGTTAATCGATGACTTTTGGTATAGTTTGAATGAAATTTTCTTCAAACTTATGAACCGCTTTTGGTAATAATTAATAAATGTTACTTGAGGAAGATGTTAAGAAGTTTTGATTTAAAATACGCCTGATTGACCATGTTGCCCCTATTTTAAAAATGATTATCACTTTGCCTCTCTTCCCAACCTATGTACCAATTTAACCCCTTCTCAAATTATATACCAGTTTACCCCTATATGACCAAAGTTTGACCGACACTTACTCATGTAAATGACTTACCAAGGACTGAGGTTTGATCAAATTTTGATCAAATAGGGGCAAAATGGTCAATCAACCTTAGAGCACTCTATGGTACATATTCACCCATCGACCCACTAACGGGAATGGCTATGGGATGATTTTTATTTGAAATGAATTGCATCCCCAGCCCCAAATCAATGCAAAATCAAAAATGAAAAAAAATATATTAATAAAGAAAAAAGAGAAGAGATAAAGGAACAAGGACAAATCCTATTACTGAGAGTGATATATGCAAAGAAATATGCACAACTTTGCTGCATATTTTAGCCACTTTGGCTGGGTGCTTTCTTTATTGTGCTCCTTTTTTATAAGAAAATCTTATCCTCCCCCAGCTTTTCTAATAATATTTTCTTATATCAAAAATGTAATTGTAATGCAAAAAGCTCAGAGAAGCATCCATTTTGAAGAAATCCATGTCATGATAAATATACTTTGTCATGTGACACTTCTACAAAACAAGGATTTTTTTCACCAAAAAAGACAAGGAAAGATAGTAAACTAAATCATTATTTCCCTTGCTCGCTCACATATTTTTCAAACACGTGATAGTCTGACAAATTATGAAATAACTTGATTCTGAAAGATAGTACCTTTCCTGTAAGAATGATCTCTCTGAGTAGGCTGAATGCATTGTTTTGAAAGAGATATCCTACTATATTACAGCTCCACGACAATTTGGGATCAATTAACAATACCAAAGCTTCCAATAAAGGAATAGCTGACATATTCAATTCCTCAGGAGTTAATAAAAGTTGATCCTTCAACTGATTTCTGTCCAATTAAAAAAAACTAAATAAGCACGCTAGCAGAGAAACCAAAAAAAACAAAGTAGCAAAAATATAAGGACTTCTGAAGTTTATTAAAAAAATAATAATATATCAACATTTGAAACCAAGGCAGGATATGATTAAAAAATATCCATGAAGATTACAAGTTTCTAGGTTGTCATGAAATACATGCATATCACCCAACAGGCCAACATACAAGCACGGAAGGGATGAGGCACTATTTATCGAGTGACCATCTTATACACCATTTTTGGTGACAGAAGTAGAAATGGAACAATCAACCAAAGTACAGCTCCCATTCTAATTATCTATCATAGTTCAGATATTTTTAAGTGACAATTTTTAATTTTTTTATTTACAAAATAAGATAAAAAGTGAAATATCCGGAGTCAGAGAGTGGCGCCATGAAAACAACAGTTACAGATTGTTGCAGCATATTAAAAATTAGAAATGCTATAGGCAAAAATTTAGTCATGGAATACTTGAGTTGTAAGGTTTTCGGTAAGAATGAAAATATTTTATTTTATTCAAGGTCCTTATATTCCTTGGAACTTTCACATCTACAGAAAGTCAGTGATAGAAAAACTAAAGAACTAGAGTTCCTTCTTTTATGATCCTATTCATCTCTCCTTGGATTTTGAATTCTTCTGCTGTGTTTTTTTTTTAATTGTTTTCTCAGTTTCTAATTCAAATATCCTAATCTTTAGATATAATACTCTTTGGCAAGCCCATTTTGAAGTCTAAAGCTCCCTTTAAGGTCAAGTCTTTCATTTTGACAACGGATAGCATCCCTTATCCTGGATCAATGTTGTCAAAATTGCAATTTTACTGTAGGATCGTCAGATCCTGCGATTTCCATGGAGGTTTAGGATCCCAATCACACAGAAGATAGTGATCAATTTAACTATCTTAACGAGCTGGACAACCTACGACTAACAGGCTGATAAAACTGACTTGCAACTGAAGTCCAATGAATCTCCTTCCACCACTTGCCCCAACCTCTCAGTCCCTTGCTGATCTTTGTTCCTCTTCGTCATCAACCTCTGCCAGTTGTCTCTGTTCGTCGTCGATCTTTGGCCTCCATCTCTGCTGGGTGAATATTTTGTATTTTAGACAGGATCTATCTTATGAACTATGTTACAATCACACGATTTACGTGTCCTCCCCCCTCTTTTGATACCAATGTAAGATCTCAATTTTGATAACCTTGTTCTAGATAACAGCCATCCAAAAAATTCTAGCTCTTGACAAATAGAAATATAAAATCTACCCCAACTACAGTCACCATCAACTCATATCATTAGCTTTTTACGCATCAAGGTACTCCAATAATTAAAACAACAGCAGATATGTCAATCTCGCAATTTTGGATACTTCCTCAGTTTTTTAATTAGTGTTAGAAATGTAATATAGAATCATTATTGACCTTCATTCAATAGCTTAAACTTTTGAAAGAGTCCGTTCATAATATGATGTCAGAGTATCTATGATCAAGACTTCAACCCTTGATACCCCATTCTTCTAATTAAAAGTTGAATTTCAACAAGACATAAGTGGACTTGTGCAATATCCAAACTTCAAACTCAGAGATCTAACGTGACGAGGCCCGATAGAAATGTAATATAAAAGCACTCATGTGCCGTCACTTGATAGTTTAAACTTTTGGGAAAATTGGTTCATGACAATTAGCATCCTAATAATTATAAAAATTTAAAGAAGCGAAAACAAATGTGTACAGGTTCGAAATGAGCATGTTTTGAGAGGCACTTTCAAAATTTGCTACAAAATATAAGATATGCCAATTAGCACAAAGTAGAAAAACAAAAATGCTTTAAGAGATAAAACTGCTTCTGTTATTAATCTTAATCAAGTAGCTCTTACACTACCACACATGCCAAACTGTGACAGAAAAAAAATTATTACAAAATATAAATTAATTAGATTTCGTTTCAAAATGCCGTGCACTTTAACATATGAGAAAAGACATACAAATCAAAATACAATCAGAACCAATTCAACATGAATAAGAGGAAACACTCGACAGCATAGTTAATATATTACTACACAAAATAATAAAGAGAACAGTAACAACAGACTAGATAATTTAAGAGAGCCAAAGGCCCAGAAAATAATGGATTTAAAATAAAGCCACGAAGCCAACCTATTATGATGTAGAGCACGAATACAAGCATGTACAAATTGCTTCACTCGGTAGTTCACCAAAGTACACGTGGATGAGTAATCCACACCCGCAAAAAGCCTCACAACATCCCCTGTTGCAACGATTTTAGTTCTACAAGTTTAGTGCACAAAAGCAAAATCTTGGGGGTGGGGTTGGGAATGCAGGCAAGTATCTACAATATTTCGAACTGCTTTTCCTCTAACAATCACCAGAGGTAAAAATACTAGCAACATTAGCATGCAGTAAAAGTTAAGATCTACACACTTTTGTCTCTATGTCCTTAGGAGATGATAATGAGACATCTAGAATACATCCTCTGTCAAATAAACATCATAAGGATTACAAAGGACATTTATAAAATTAAAATTTTAAAAAAGTGGAGATTAAATCCTAAATTGTAGTCTGCTCATTATATGATTTCACATAAAACTTCTTGTTTCCACATAAAAGAAGTTATTAAGAAAAGGGAGATTACAGACAATAAATAGAAAAATTACAGAGAAAACTATATTCTTTAACACCTTCAGCAAAAGTCATTAATAGTTTAAAGAACCTTGGGATACACCACTCCAAAAGCTAGCTCAAAGGGTGGGAGTGCCCAAGGTCTTATAAACTCCACATTAGTTGGAACCAACAACCAATGTGGAACTATATATCTCAACACGCTCCCTCACACGATAGCCCATTGGGCTTGAAGAGTGGACAATGCAACAGGCTCAGCCAACCTGTGCTAAGAAACGCCACAAGAGAAAGTGGGGGGCGGCGAGACTTTGATACCATGTAAAGAACCTTGGGATACACCACCCCAAAAGCTAGCTCCAAGGGTGGGAGTGCCCAAGGTCTTATAAACTCCACATTAGTTGGAACCAACAACCAATGTAGGACTATATATCTCAACAAATAGTACCAATATTTGAACGCTTCTGACTATCTCAAGATTTTTCAAAAAGTATAATTAATGGGGCCAATAATAAAGACAGTATGTGGCAGGATTTCAATTCTGTGAATTCAACAGCCATAATTTTTTTTTGTTTTTATGAGGGGAAGGGCTAACTCTGCAATCATCCTGATTGTCAATTGGAGGGAACATATACAAACAGCTAGAAACAAAACAAGCACCATTTAGGTCAGTTGGCTACATTAGAAATCTCTTTTTTGATGGAAAAAAGATTAAATGTAAAACAAATATACGTTCCACTTTACAATTTTTTCTAAATACAGTAGAAAATAAACTGTAAGAACCATAGGAAATGGAAGGGTGATTAAGAATTACCATTGTCTTGAACAAACCACTGAATCAATCGGCATATATGCACAAGAGCTAAAAAATCATCATTGTTTTCTGCCTTAAAGAAAAAGAGGAACTGGTAGAGGAAATCAGACTCCAGACCAAAAGAATTCCTGAATGCACACAAGATGACATTAATTTGAGAAGTAATGGTGCAATGTTCAAGTAATATAATACCAAAATAAAATGCATCACTAATTTTTACAGAAGCTTATAGTAAAAGAAAGTGAAGACCATTCATGCAATTATAACAATCAAATTTCACCTGTCTACATTCTGACAGTACTTCCCATGGGCTTTATAGAACTTCTCTCGCAACTTAGATTGTTCAGTTCTGACAGCTTTTCTCCCTCTGAAGCATTTCTGTAACTAGAATCAGTCACAATTTGCATGACACATGACATAATGTTGACTCCCATCAACATCAATGTTCCTTCGCAGCATAGCCATACATTGTATTAAATTACCACACATCAAACTACAATCTAGGCAGCTAAACTTGAGGAACTGCACAACACTGCAATCATACTTTAATGTAGCTTTGAATATTCAAAATATTTTATAAATTTATGATAAAAATATCATTAAATCATAGAAATTAAGGAGCACCTATCATTGCCAAAATTAAAAAAAGCAATGCAACTATGATTGAGATAGTAGATACTAAATTTATTTTTACTATGATGCACGGCATAATTCAACACAAAAATTTAATAATACAATAACAATTGATTACAGATGTGAAAGCATCGAAAGTAATGTGTTAATAAATAACTGAAAGCATAGATATTGTTAACGAACTCAGTTAGTTCTACATGACCCATTAAGCTGTAACCATGAAACAACTTCAAATTATTCACCAGGAAGTCTTAGTGGTGAGGAGGGTAGGGAGACATTGTTCAACTTGGAAGCGGTATTTTTTGGGGGGATAGGTATGGTGGGTATAGTGAAAGTGGGAATCAGGATGTTCGAACATTTGTTAGAGGTTTTTCCTCTCCTCTAGACCTCTAATTCTATCAACTCTCTTCTATGAATAATTTCCCCATAAAATAGTTTTTATTGCATTTAGAGTCCTGATTTTTTCTTGGAACTTTCTCTTCCTCAAACACTTCAGTGAGGGAGGTGAACCAGAGTCCTTTCTTCTTTTACTTGATTCTATTTATCTCTACTCCCACCCAAATAAGTGAATTTGGAATTTGGACTCTTCCGGTGTATTTCTTTCAAGTCCTTTTCTCAGTTTATAACTCAATCTCCCAATCTTAAGAGGTTCTCTTTGACACTCTCATTTTGGAAGTCTAAAACTCGCTGTAAAGCCAAATCATTCATTTATACAATGATACAAAATTGGATTAATACACATGTTACAAATTAGTAGACTTCACACAGCTCTTTCTTCTAATAGATGCTTAATGAGGTCTAGTTCCAGAAACATTTGCCCTTTTATTTCTCCGTTGGCTAACTTGTTATGGGACAGTGAATAATTCAATTTGGGATTCTATGTGAACCAAGGATGTGGCTTTCAACTTGGAGCAAATTTCTTATAAGTTTTAATGGTTTTGGCAAGAATAAGAAGACTTCAATCTTATAACAGTATGCTGCATTTGCAATCTTTTGCGTGTAACTAGTTGGAAAGGAACGCCATTACATTCAAGGATGTCTCTCTGTTCTTCAATCTATTATGGGATGTGTTTGTGTTAACGAAGAATTTAGCAAATTTCACTAGCTGCCAAACTTGGCAGTTGTTTTATAGAACAATTGCAAGTTACAGCTATGCACAAACAATCGCAAGATTAAAACCCTCCAAATGCACTTAAAAGCAAAACCTGAATTCTCAGTGCAGCAGAGTTCTGCTGGCGCAACCATAGGCGCCGGTTGCGTTCTACTCGTGTCTGCTCAAGTAGGTTCTTCCTGTCCCTTTCCTTTGAGCTGCGACCACCTAAATCAACACGTTTTCGGTTAGAAGGATCGCCGCTGAAGAACATTTTTGATTCTCTTTCCTGCGCGGGCTTGGCCAATTCATGCCCTAGTTTCCATCAGAACAATGATCGTGGCACTGAAGGCGCGGTTTTATTTGCAATCACAGTTGGCTTGAGTTGGAAGAAAAAGATTTTGCGGAGAAAGTTGCCCTAGAATCCAAGAAAGTGTGAAGCGATTTCTTTGGAGCGAGACGCGAGGAAAGTATAACGAGAATTCTGAAGAGTATACATGAATTCAATTACAGCGGAATTATAATAATAATCATATGGAAATTCTGTATTTTATATAGAAAATAACAGAAAATTTTCCAAAATTTTCTACTTCCCCAAGTGAACTGGATATGATAATTATGATTAATACATTATTGGTTTAATTTTGTTTTTAAAGTTGATTTAGAAACTAAGTTATAAATCAAGTTTAATAAGTTTGACTTAGAAGCCCTGCAAGCTCACCTTTTAATTTTTATAGTAATATAAATACATTTATGATATATTATTCATTTAAAAACATTTCAATAATTATGATTTGCAGCATTAATTTTTAAAATAATAAATTTGATATTATTTTAACAAATAATAAATATTTATTTAAAATTTAAAATATATATATATATATATATATATATATATATTTTTGTGTGTGGATCCATTGTATGTGTTATTTGTTATATTTTGTACAGAAAAAATTTCAATAACTTAAAATATGCATTTAAAATTTTATTTTTTAGAACAGATTTTATTTACCTTGAAAATTATTTCTCACTTATCATGTATAATTGGTTATTACTTTATTTAAAAAATAAGCACTTAATTTTCAAGAAGGTACTGTTTGAGTAAAGCAAAAAGTTAAAGGGTTTTATAAGAGTTATGTTGTAGGAAAAGTGATTGTGTAATGTTATAGAGATTCGTTTTGCGTGCCTTAATTTTTTATTTATTTTTTTGTTTTAAAAAGTGTGGACCCCACAAAATGTTATGAGAATAGAAAAGTTTGTTGTGTTATGTTAAAGGATAAAATGAAAACACAAAGTTAAAATGAACAATCAAAACAGAAAAAGATAAGAAGAATCATAACTAAAAGATTGTGAAGGTTGCAAAGAACAAATAAAAAGCTCATAAAAATATTATTTCATATGAATATTATTTAAGGATTTTTGTGATCTTGTTAAAAAAATTGTTTGAGAATTTTTAATTAAATTTTCATTTAATCTTTGTGAATAAGAAATTTTAAGAACATTATTTCATGAATTTTTCATCTGATTTTTATGATCATTATTTCATATGTTCTTAATGAAAATATTATTTCATGTGATCTTTGGGAATAGGAAATTTTATCATGTATATTTTAGTTTGGTTTGGGCCTATAAACTTTTGTTTGTAACTTGATAGGTCTTACAAGCTATGTTAAATTTTTTAGTTTTTATAATACATCAAGCCAAATCTATAAATCAAATTTTTAATAGACTAATAGATTAATATAAATTCAAAATATTTTAGATAAACTTAAGTTATGAAAATCAAAGTATGGGCTAGCCTCAGCCCATTTACATACTTAGTTATACACGCTCAATTTTTTCAACTTGCAACTAAGAAACTTCATTTACTGTCTTGCAATGGATATTTCGGGTAGGCACTAATCCAAAGTATTATTATATAATTTTGCATAGGAAGATATAATTCTCTTGCTATGGCAGAGGAAGTTTTCTTCCCGCTGACTTATCGGGACATGTACAGTGCTTTTTTCTTTTTTAATGAAGCGAAATACACCATAATTTTGTTTCAGCAATTGGAGAAGATAATTTTATTGTTGCATGAAAAGTGATAACCCCATTTTCATAAGGTAGGTATCTGTTTCCTTTAAATATTTATAATTGATATATTAAAATCAAAATTATATATTAAAATCAAAATTATAAAAATTGTAAGAAAAAATATATATAAATGTTGTAACACTAAACAACTCCATAGTTATATTTGTTAAATTGATGTGTTACAAAAAAAATCTTAAATGGTACAATTATCTAATACTTTTAAATTAAGAATCCCTCTTTTGAAATAGTTAAAACCAACAAAAAATAAAAAATATGTCTATAAAAAAAACACCAAAAAAAATATAGATACTTCGTATGAATCATAAACGATATACACAACCTATAAATATTTAAAGAAATGCAAAAAGCCACAGATTTATTTCTCATAAACTAAAACAAGAATCATTATATTTTATCAATTATCAATTTGTTTTTCAATCTTCTTCTTTTTTTTGGTGAATGGGCAATGCACAAAACAAAACAAAAAGAATTACATCAAAGAGTGTCTAACCCTATGAACAGAGCTAAAATCAGAAAAATATAATCATAGAATTTCATATGGGAGATCCTGAAAGCTAGAGAAATATTGTTGCTCCAAAATTTGCAAAGGAAGATTAGCTAGCCAGTCTGCACAGCAATTGCCTTCCTTGTACGTATGCATCAAACGAACACTCTAATCTTTTGAGAGCCATTCTCGTATCTGAGTTACTAAATGCGACTCACAGGATGCATCACCAAACTTGGTAAGCAAAGTGATAGCCGAAGCTGAGTCACTCTCTGAAATTAATTTCCTCCAACCTCCAGCCTCCAACCCAAGCCATTTCCAAACCTTTGAGAACATCCCACAATTCAGCTGTAATTGCATTACAAAAGCCCACTTTGTAGGAAAAAGCTTCTATCCATCTACCATCATGACCTCTTAACAGGCCACCACAGGCTGCAATACTTGGGTTCCTTTTAGAAGCTCCATCTGTATTAAGCTTAATTCAACCATCATCTGGTGGTATCCACCTTATCATCTCTATACTCATCATTCTGCTAGATTTCTTGTTTTCCTCTGAAGAATTGGCTGACATAACCTCTATAGCCATAGCATTAATCAACTCTAACTTGTATTTGTTTTCCACACAACCAGAATTATGGATAATTTCATTTCTCCAAATCCAAACTTTCCAGCAGGTTATGCCAAAAATAATTGCCCAAGGAATTTCCACCAAGCTAGATGACACCTGATTTAAATTAGCAATCAACAAATCATGCAAGTTTAAATTAAAAAAAAAAAGTATCAGCCAAACAAGGGGATAACCGAAGCCAAATATCTTTAATATTTGCACCATCTCTTAATAAATAAAGAGTATTTCTTCTCCTTGCAAGCATACTGGGCAAACTGCACTACCCAACTGAAAACTATTTAACTTTTTTCTAGTTTGAAGGCTATCATGACCAACCTCCCAAAGAAAGAACTTGATTCTTTGAGGTCCTAACCATTTCCAAATTACCTCCCATAATTAAGGAGATCAACTTTGAATACTACCAGTTTCTGTAAAAACCAAATACAGCCCCTTAACAGACAACTTCGGATAGCCAGGATATAACAAACAAGCTTATTGGCACCATCATTTCAATCGTATTTTTTATTCTCAAATCATAATCAGTTATTAAGTATCCATAATAATTTTTGTATCAAATAAATTGTACCAATTATCTTTTTTTTTTAGTATATACTATTAACAAACTTTATAGTTTATTTATGGAATCAAAATGTATTTATTTTATCATATTATTTTTTTAATATATTCCAATTCTAGAAAAATAATAATTTATATTTCAATCAGAAATGAAAATGACGGACAGTCAACATAATTAAATTATTTAAATTTAAATCAAGAAGTTTAAAATAAAATATGATACTGAAACATAAAATTATAGTTTTAATTCTAGATACCTTCTTTTGGGTTTTTTTTTTTGGTTCAGATATTTTACTATTTTGTTCTAACATAGGACTTTCCAAGTTTTTCCCTTAACGTGCATTTGCTGTAGCATTCCTAATTAATCTTTTTAATTAGATAAACATCAAAGGGACCAAAAAATATTTGGGCCTTTTTTAGTGTTTAGTTGTAATCCTTGGACATTCTTTTTCGTGATTCAATTAATTCCATGACATTGATTAGTTTTCCAAATGAAAACTAAACGGGCCAAGAAGCCAAATTTAATTCCTTATATTCTAAGCTGGGCTTTGTAACCCATCGATTTAACCAGCAACAAAGAAAATCCTAGAAATTTCCAATTCAACGATAAAATAAAAATAAAAATAATAATAGTTATATCTTTTCCTTAAACAAGTGATCTGTAAATATAAACAAGTGCAAGAGTTGACATGATAACTGATCAGACTCCCAAAAAATGCCATTGAATATATTAGGTCAACTGTTTAATGTCAAAAGGTTATTAGGTGTTACTGCAAAATAACAGAGACAAATAAATTAAGTTTGAGTGCTTCATTCTAATTCAATGAGCAAGACAACATTAACAGAAAATTGTTGTTTATAGCTACAATGCTTACCCAGCTGATTCACTAAACAATGTCAGAATGTATTCTGGTAGTTGACCTTTTAGTTTTGACCTTATTTTATTTCCCCTTTTTTGGGGTCGGTACATTTTTATTTTTTTTTAAAAAAAAATTGGGGTAGGAAAAAAATTTGTTTTTGACTTAGCTAACCTTGTTGAGTTGTTTAGTAGAGAGAGCTTTGGCAAAGTTGAATGTGAAAAAATGGCAGGTTTAATTAAAATACCTTTCAGAGTTTGGTCCGTAAAAATGAAATCATTGCATGTACCTCCCCCACAAATGATAAAAATGAAAATTCCTTTTAAAACATATCTTGGTTAGTGACTTTTTATTTTATAATATACCAAGCACAAACATGCATTCTATAATTTGACTGAAATCATCCTTTGGGATATTAATATCTTAATTTTAGAAGCTTCCTTTGTTGATAAGCAATAAGCAAGCGCACGAATGGTGTGATTTGGGTTGATAGACTTTGCTACATCGTTGTAGAAACTCATAGATGGCTTCATATATTAGTCTAATGTATTTGCCCTCTTGGTGTTAAAATAAACAACACAGAACAATTAAGTATTGTCACTTGCTACATATTTTTTTTTTTTTTTTTTAAATTTCTTTAAGACTTTAAAACTTCATAGAGCACTTGTTGCCAAATAAAAAAACAACATATATAGCACAATGATTCTGCGATAAGCCTTGAATTCTAAAGGCATTTTTATGAGCTAAGAAAAAAGAAATGGTAAATATTTTTTTAAGCTTTGTTGCATTGGTTTTTAGCTATAATTAATAGGGAAGCGATGACCATATATAAGCAAGTTTGACTCGACTTAATGAATAATATTGAGCTTTAACCAAAAACC